TGTTGTTTCACTTTCTTTACAGGTACTTTAATGGCAATGTTCAGGGATTTGGTTAATAGTAGACCCCCGCTCCGTCAGGCGGCGCTGGAGGCGTAGGCTGGGGAATTCGAAAAGGGTCGGCTACACAGCGACAAACGGCGTTTGTAGGGGAGGCATCCACTACAGTGCCACCTCCCGGGTGGGGGGTAGAGCGGGTGGAGGGTGCGCTGCTGCCCCCTGGCCCTGTGTCGGCACACTTGCTTCCACTACCCTCTCCCTGAATATAATCCGTGTACACCCGTCCCCGTTCCTCCTCGACTCTTCCCTTCTCTGCTTCAAGCCCTGAGGCTTGAAGATGGTAGTTACGCAGATTCTGGCCAGGATAAAGCTGAGGCATTGAACAGCTTCTTTTCCTCGATGTTCACAAGAGAGGATGCGATTAACCTTCCTGCGTTTGAGGACAGACGTTTCGACACAGTACTGACCCACATTCTGTTCACAGAAGAGGGTATTAGAAATAAACTGTCAAAGCTAAAGGTCCATTAGAGTCCCGGCCCTCACATGGTGCATCCTAGAGTGCTAAAAGAGTTGTGCAACGAGCTTGCCGAGCCCCTGAAGATCCTGTTTTGTAAATGCCTGGATGAATAAAAGGTCTCCAGTGAATGGAAAGTGGCTTATGTAAGTCCTATCTTCAAGAATGGCGATCGTCACTCCACGAACAACTGTAGACCGGTGAGCCTGACCAGCATAATATGTAAAGTACTTGAGAGTATTAACAGAGATGCCGCGATGGAACATCTACTACGAAACAACCTTGTAAAGGATTGCCAACACGATTTTATGCAGGTGCGCTCCTGTTTAACACAATTGCTCAAGGTATTGGATATTTGTCCCCATATTCTGGAACGGGGTGGAAATAACAATATTTACCTAGATTTTGCCAAGGCTTTCGACAGTGTACCCCACGAAAGGCTGAAAATCAAACTGGAAGGCCACGGAATTCGGGGAAATGTCCTGGCGTAGATAGAAGACTTTCTCCATGACCTCAAGCAGTGTGTGGTGATTAATGATATGAGGGCCTGAGCTGCCACCATTTTATAAGGGCCTGTGTGTCAGTAACAATTCCTTTTACTCTCATACTTATTACCATTGGTAGCGTGACGAGAGGAAGCTCGTGGGTAGATGTAATGATAGTATCAAGTAATAGGGAAGAAATAACGGTAAATACTGTAGGTAAATAATAGACACAATATACAAATACAAAATTTATTTAAACATTAATATGAAATTAGGAGAAAGAATTTATATGTACCAACAGACGAAATCTAGTACTAGGCCCTCAGGCTCAACATACTCACACCACTACTGGGTGGACATACTCAACAACACATAACTCTTATAGTCACTTAGCACCATAAAGACCAGGGCAACTGCCACTACAACACTCAGTCGTCAGGGGTGATACTCGAGCAACAGCCATGGGGTCCAGCCACCATGGGGTACTTTCCGACGAACTCTGAAGATCCCAGTGGATTAAATCCACCACACAAATAGCCCTACTGAGTTAGACACTCATCCACCAATGATGGAGGCTGGTAGTGGTGTGTGGCTTGGTGATCCGGGGTCACCTCGCAGGCCGAGCGTTAGGGCCAGACGAGCCAGCTATGGGGGCCATAGGTAGTCTGAAGTGTCTGACGGCCGGGTCTCACGAAGGTAACTGATCCTACTGGACCTCGGACATCTCCCCAGACATAGTGGATACAACATCCACTCTACAGACACGGCCTAGGCTGCGTTAGGGAACTGTATGGATGAAGTGACGGGCACTTACTAACGGTAGAAATGCCCGCGGCACCCTCACTCAGAATAGGCCAGGGAGTCCTCCTACTTCTATTCCGATGAATTAATTTACTGTACACTCTGACGTTGAAACTGAGACTATGAACACAGTTTCATTCCCTACTATTATCCTCACTAATAATGCTCTGACTCAGCTATCAAAAGCAAAATTAAATTGATTACAATGAGTTGGATGGCAACAGGTCCCAACATACAGCGTCTGCTACGAAATCCGCGGATAATTATATTCAAAGTTCCCTTAAGACAAAGACGGGGAACAGAGAAAACGGGGGACGTTTCCACTGGGGGACTCGGAAGGTTTTGTGGTCGTTTGAGCGTAATATGAATCCTTAAAGTTTTCAGGTTAGCCGTTATCTCGATCATGACAATGACACTAAATCATCATCCGTACCTGTCACAAGCGGGGTACCACAGGGCAGTGTATTTGACCCGCTGTTGTTTGTTTCTTTTATAAATGATATGCCTGATGTTGTACACTCCTCCATACAAATGTTTGCCGATGACGCCAAGTTATTTCGGGAAATCAAGAACCAAGCGGACTGTGAAGAGCTGCAGAAGGATCTCTGTGGGCTCCAAGAATGGTCGAAGAAATGTTTGCTGAGATTCAATGTCACGATGTGTAAGAGGATGCACCTGGAGAGTACCAACAGTAAGGAGGCGTATCATATATCCCAACGGGATGAAGAAACTGCACTATTTGAGACTGAATGTGAGAAGGACCTAGGCGTGTATGTTGACAATGAGCTGGAGTTCTCGGGTTATTGCAAGAAGAAGGTAAATCAGGCAAATAAATTATTGGGTCTTATAAGAAGGTCGTTCAGATATCTAGACGGTCCGTCCCTCGTAACGATCTTCAAGAATGAAGTGCTTCCCCATCTGGAGTACTGTCACCCCGTCTGGTCCCCGAGATATAGTAGGGGCTGTCAGTTGGCTGAAAATGCTCAAAGGAGGGCCACCAGACTGGTGCCTGCACTTCAGCCCCTCAGCTACCCTGAGAGATTGGAGCGCCTGAACTTGCCTAGCTTATACTACAGTCAGGCAAGGGGTGACCTAATTGAGGTGTATAAGCATCTCAAGGAGCACTACTCATTCGAGTGTCCTTACTTGGAGCTGGAGGACGCTCGCCCCACAAGGGGTCACAGCTCAAGATTGAAGAAGCCGCAAGTCCAGAAAACTGTGAGGGCAAACTTTTTCGGAGTGAGAGTTGTGAACTCTTGGAAGAATCTACCAGAATGTGTTGTGACGGCACCTAGTGTGAGCTCTTTCAAGACAAGACTTGACCAACACTGTAGCAGGTTCAGGTACATTCAGGAGCCGGTGCATGCCCAGTACTTGCCAACAGTGCGTAACAGAGACGTGACCGATCGCCCAAGCGGCTAACGAGCCGATCATTTGATGAAGAGGATAAAAGAAAAGGCAAAGTAATGAGAGACGTGACCGATTGCCCAAGCGGCTAACGAGCCGATCAGTGGTGAACAGGATAAAATGTAAAAGTAGGTAGTAGGCAGCTATCAAACAGGGAGGTACTACCGCCTGGGAAGATATTCGAAGCATAATGTATTGTCTGATGGTAGACCCTGCTGCTATATGGCATCACGAATATTGTGACCAAGTCCCAGGTTGCTGATCTGTCTTTCTGCCCCATTTACACACAATTGCAGGGTCTCAATTGTTTCTCTTACTTGATAACACAACATACTGTACATATAGCGTTTCTCATTATTAATTTGGGTTTTGTTAGTTTTTGTATTCCTTTATTATTATTATTACAGTTTTGTTATTATTATTATTATTATTATTATTATTATTATTATTATTATTATTATTATTATTATCATTATTATTATCATTATTATTATTATTATTATTATTATTATTATTATTATTATTATTATTATTATTATTATTATTATTATTAATATTATTATTATTATTATTATTATTATTAATATTATTATTATTATTACATTTTCGTCTCCCAGGCCCCGATGTGGGTCAGTGACCTGTGGTCGGGTGGGCTAATCCCCGTAAAAAAAAAAAAAAATGAGGAGCCAGTGCATGGCCAGTACTTGCCAACAGTGCGTAACAGAGACGTTGTAGTGGAATTCTCCCCTACAAACGCTGTTTGTCGCTGCCTAGCCGACCCCACCAATTCCCCAGTGTATGCCTCGTGGTCTAGGTCAACCAGCGCCGCCATACACCACGGAGCGGGGGTCAACTGCTAAGCCACGCCTACCCCCGCTATTTAAGACCTGACCTCGTGGTGATCTGTCTCTCCTTCTACCTACAGCCGCAGCCAGCAACACCTCCTCCTCCGCCGCTGCCTGGCGGCCTTCCCTCGCTCCTCCGCCTGCCTGGCGGTCCTCTCTCCCGCTGGCGAGCATGGCGACCCACAAGCTGTCCTTCTCTGAGCGTCCTCACCAACCAGCTCTCTCTACATCACGCTTGTAACCATGCTGCCTTCCCAGCACCAAGCTGCATTGTACATCCAATACAACATGTATATAGAGAGCACATTGTGAGTTTCCTTTCTCCATCCCATCCTGAGTGTGAACCAAACAATCTCATACCCCACAACGTGACCGATCGCCCAAGCGGCTAACGAGCCGATCAGTGGTGAAGAGGATAAAAGAAAAAGAAAAGTAACAGAGACGTGACCGATCGCCCAAGCGGCTAACGAGCCGATCAGTGGTGAAGAGGATAGAAGTAATTAGAGTCTTGCTTCCTTAGCTGGGCTTTTAGTTTTAGGGCTTTCAACAAGGTAAACTTTTTCCTTGCTTTTTGCGTATTCCTATGGCTAACTTTATAATATTCAAGATTTGTTCCAGATTAAACAAAATTATGCGAGATTTTTGTTTAAAATATATGCTAAGCTGTAATATTGGGTCGAAATTATGCGAAAAGCGTAAAAATATGCTAGATCTGGGAATACTACTCACAAATCTGTTGTGCGTCACCTGCGCCGCAAAACGTACAATGTAGGAAATGTTTCACGATAGAAGTAAAGGGTGCGATATTACGAGTTTTTTATGACATAGTTAATTAAATAAATAATATCTGATAAGAAAATATATATTAGAAACTATAATTGGTTAATGCTTTGTTAGGTTGAGTTATATGATTTGTATCGTCTACCTCAATGAAATATTTAGTGCCGTAGTCATTTGTTGTTCGTTAACATCTTACGCCTCGCGTCGACCAAGGTTGTTATTGTTGACGGAGTTGACGCATCTTGGCAACCCAACTTATAGTATACTTGTTCCTCATTCAGTAAGTGGTATTGTTGAAGAGCAATTTCCTCTCATAATATAAAAATTTGTCGGTAGAGGTGTAGAAGAGGGTGATTACCAGAAGGAATTGTCCGAATTAGTTGAAATGTTTTCTACACACAATTACCATGATATTAAACACAAAAATGGAAACGACAATAGAACCTAATAGAACCTGACCTAACATACCCATAGGCTGGGTATGTAAGGTCAGGTGGTAAATTTTTCTTGTAGCACCGTTCACTTGTAGCAAGTTAAAAATATATTTTTCTAGTGTATTTGTGTGTGCCGAGACCGAAAATGACCTTCCTTTTTGGCGGAAATTAGCCGGGGTTTTTTTGCGACTTTTTTTCGTTTGACGTTTTCCGAGAAAAGAAAGTGCCTAAGCGACTAACAAATACACAATAAAACACTAGAAAAACAATAACCTAACCTAACCTAACTTAACTGACTCACCATATGATGGAATCACCTATTTCTTACCTTATTGGCCTGGTTCTTGTTCGTCGTTGCAGTCTGAGATTCTTACACAGCGCCACATGTGTTGGTCTTTGCGATATTTACATTCAGTCTTGCTCTTAATACACTTTACTGATGTTGGAAGAACACCATGCAATCGAAAAAATGCTATAGTTTCTTCGTTTTTTTCCAAAAACTCGCAATCAGCTCCATATTCTTTAAGTGACACCCATCGCAGACTTCCATGGTCGGAACTGAACTTGAATTTGATTAGGCCAAAAATACCGTGAATTAAACCCAAAAACATTTTAATTGATTTCAAAATCAAAAAGGCTTTTGATTGGCCGCGTGATGTGTACAGCAACACATGCGCAGGATGATTTATGAAGGGGACGCAGGAGACACGCAGTGTTGGAGGAGAGGCAGACGATAATGGCAGGATGTTAATGGAAGAAAATATTTTGGAAGAGCTATCTTCGTTATTATACATTTCCGCTGGTAATGTAATAGATGAAAATTATCTCATAATTAGACGTCTTATTCGAATATGATAATAGATTAGTGGTAGGAATGAACGGTGTTACAAGAATATAATACCGGTCAGGTTTTATTAGGTTCTATGCATTATTTTGTATTTTTTTATATAATGCTAATAACATTATGTTAAACACAAATGGAAACAATACATAGAACCTGACAACCTCTGGCCAATTTATCGTATGACACCGGTCTTTATTTCGATATTAAAAATAGGTTTTTCCTCTGTATTTTGATGAGTTTCGAGCGAATTTTATATTCATTTCCACCAGAAATCATGTGTTTTTCAGAAAGCCTCCCCACTAAACAATCATAACGGAAAAAAGTTGGATTTTTTTTAGAATAAGTAACAAATTATATTACCAACCAACCAAGAAAACCTAACCTAACACCCCACCGGAGGCCTGGAGCGATGCGTGAGCAGGGGGTCAAACCACCTCCGCCATAAGTAAACAAATCATGGTGACACTTGTGACTGAGCGAAAGTCATAATCTTGAAAAATTAATATCTCGGTTATCCTTAATTTCCGGTGGAAATATCATAAAGAAAAATGTCTCAGAATTGTGTAAACATTACGAGATACACATTTTTAATATGGAAATAAAGACTGGCGTGATACTATAAATTCACCCAATCTTTTTATTTACTCTATGCCGCTTCACAATTTTCCTCCTGGCGCCATTTTTGTTGTTTACCTCGCTGAATCCCTTTTCAAGAGTTGTTTGTTATGGTGAACGCTTCCACGTATTCCTCCTCGCCAATATTAAGGTAAGTTGTTTAACACATAAATTAACACGATAATGCATGGAACTTAATAGAACCTGACCTAACAAACCCATAGGTTAGGTATGTTAGGTTAGGTTCTATGCGTTGTCGTTTCCATTTTTGTGTTTAATATCATGATATTAATGTGTAAAAAAATTTAAACAAATTCGGACAATTCCTTCTGGTGGTCACCCTCTTCTACACCTTTACCAATTTGCTAGTAGTAGTGTAGAATTTAACATTGTTACACTGGACTTAGATACCATCCACTATTATTTTCGTGATGGATGTCCGAGGAAAGGCGTAAAATTTACGCAGTATTTTGCCGTGACTGGCTAAGTTCCTACTACAAGGGAGGGTAAAGGTAAAATTTCTAACATACAATATAACCAAACTAAACCTTACCAAACCCCCAAGCCAGGGACGGACCCCGGTGGCCCTACCCTGGGATATCGGTTGAGTGTAGTGAATTTACGGAACTCTGCGGTTGCTGTTTACTGCAATATTACCAAATATTCGTCCACTGGCTGTTGTCAGGTTTTGGTATGGGAATAGGTTTTATTTTTTTTATTTTTAGGTGTGTTTTACTCAAATCTGACCTTCATTTCGTGTGCAAATAAGCGGTGGTATTTTTGTATTTGTGCACACAACTTTCCTACCCCAAATCTATTATCATATTCGAATAAGACGTCTAATTTTAAGATAATTTTCTTCTATTATATTACCGTCTGATTGTGATTTTGGGTCTCATATTTTGAAATTCAAATTCATTTCCGACCATGGAAGTCTGCGATGGGTGTCACTTCAATTATATGGAGTTCATTGCGGGTTTTGGGGGAAAAACGAACAAGCAATAGCACTTTTTAGATCACATGGTGTTCTCCCGACCTCAGTGAAGTGTTCTAAGTGTAATAAGGATTGTAAATATCGTCAAGACCAAACATAGTTGCCATTGTAGTAACTTGTTCCTTATTCCCTAAACAAAGAAGAGACATTAGTGTTCGTACACCGTCAGTGATTACAAAGGAACCAGAACCAGGTCAATAAGGTAAGAAATAAGTGATTCCATCATATAGGGAGAGTTAGGTTAGGTCAGATCAGATCATCCAAAAAAGAAGGTTTGGTTTATATGTTTTTCTAGTGTTTATTTGGTGTATTTTGTATTGGCTTGGCCATGATTTTTGTCTGAAAATGCCCCACCCAAAACACCCGATAGCTAAAAAAATAGGCAATTTCCGACGGAAATCAAGGTCGGAACCAACCAAACACACAAAAATACACTAGGAAAACATAGTTTTGACTTTCTAACAGAGTTGTGTGCACTAATACAAATTTACCTTAGTGGTTTTTGCAAAAAAAAATATTTCACTTTTAACAAATATAATTTGCAAAAAAAAATGGAGGTCAAATTTGAGTAAAACACCAACAAAAAATATATATTCTCATATAAAAAGAACCAACTTACCTAACCTAATCTATCCTAACCTATAAGGAGGATGAGGAAAGGAAGAGACAACCGACTCATAAGTGAGGAGTATAACCTCAGGTAAGCATGGCGGGAACCTGCGGAAAGCCAATGGACGAATATTAACCCAAGGGCAGATCCAGGGGTTTCCTGGGGGTCCGGACAGAATATCAAGTGTGCATTGCTTCAAAATGACCTCAAAATGCCTATGATATTGGTCAGATTTCAAAAAAATTTATAGGGGGGTAACAGTGCCCCCCAAAACACCCCAGCTGGGTGGGCTCGCTGGGCTTGCCATGTTCCCCCACCCACAACTTCTTGGACTCCTTCTCTTGATATTCCTGGATCCGCCTCGAAACTAACACCATTTTACAGTGAGTGTGCTCGCTCTGATTGGCTACCTAAGTACTTTCTGTTTAATATGACAGAAGGTCCCCCCCCCCTCCTTCTCCCCCGCTAGGAAATTAGGTAAGATTAGGTAGGTTTCTTGGGGGGTAGTATTGTTTTGTGGATCCAGCTATTTTGAATATTTTAAATTTTTTTTTTTAGGGTGGGAGAATCAGTAGTTTAGACAATTCTAAGAGATTTTTCTCCTATGGCATTTTGCCCGCACATTAATACTTTCAGAGAAAATCGTACTACATTTTTGGAAAATCTATGAATGTTTTTAGTTACAGTATACGAAGATTTTCGATTTTTTTAGATTTTCTCTGAAAGTAATCATGAGCAGTCAAAATACCATGGAAGAAAAGTGTCTTTTAATTGTCTAAATTACTGATTAAAAAATAATAATAAAAATCACTGGCTCTCCAAAACTGAAATGTATTTTTTTTTTCTCTTAAAGTAATCATGAGCTGGCAAAATACTATAAAAGAAAAGTGTCTTAGAATCACCTAAACTACTGATCCCCTCCCCCCTCCAAAGAAAAAAATCACTGGATCCCTGAAACGATGATTTTTACCTTCTTCGGTTGGTGAGGTCTACTTCTTTTAGATTCTAGTAAATGTCGCTCTTTTATAATGATAAAATAACTGGGAAAAAATGAACAAAATCCAACAACTCTTTCTGGTGGTAGTGATGTTCTCAGACAATACCATAATTTTAACCTTTTTTCAAGTTAGGCAAGGTTTTCAAATGCTTGTTTGGTGTTCTTTTTAGTATTTTACTGCACATTCTCCCTCTACTGCCCATTTTCAACAACCAATATTGTTGGTAAGTGGGGAGGTCTTACCAGTTAAAATACTAAAAAATTATACATTTGTGCTGGAAACGTAATAGATTTTTTCCCCCGATATAAATAGAAATATGAAATTACATGTACGACCTAAAAGGAATCTTTTCCTTTATTTTTTTAGTAGTTTCCATGCACAACAGAAATATGTGTTAAGTATGTTTATAGGTACACAACGACCATCCATTACTGGCGAACAACTCATTTATATCGCCGTGAGTAAACCGTTGTGTAGCTATAAGCATACCCAACCAGAAGTTGTTCTATTGTGGTAATTTTTTCTACAGATATTGTTATCATTATAAAATAGATCCTGACCGAAGCAACCAAAGAAACCTACCTAACCTTACCTAACTTAGTACTTAGCCAGTCACAGCGCATTCACGGTAAAATAGCATTAGTAGAAACTTAGCTGGTCACGGCAAAATATCCACTATGTTTTTTTTATAAATGAATATGATATTTATGTCCGTAAGAGATATAACCACTTAAACTCGCAACAACAATGACTTTCCTAAAGTGGGCAGGCTTGGGTAAAATGTT